CTGGTTTTCCCATTTTGACGTTAGCTGCTGATGCTGCTCCATGCCTCCATCCGTTAACCCACGGTGGTTACGAAATGTGATGTTCAAGCTCTGTTATTCAGCTTTCGTTGGTTAGCTGGAGTACGTAGATGCTTCCTGCACCTGTCACTGCTACCCAGGGCACAGCTTGTGGAAGGGCTGTCACTGGCCCCAGGCCATCTAGGTGGACAGAGCCAGGGAATTTTAAAAGATGAAATAACTCCTGAGCTCGTGCTGACGTTCACACTCAGATCTTCGGGGCTTTTTCTACCCTCTTCTCTGTTGCACCTGTTTCCTTCCTCGCTGAGCGCATCCTGTTCTCCAGGACATGGTGACAGAAGAACACCCCCACCCCACACACTCTGAGCTCCTTCCCAGTTCCAGCATGGCTCTTGGCTTGCCCCTGGCTTCTGGTGAGCTCCGGTGTCATTTGGGGGCTCTCCTGTTCTAGCCCGTCTCACCTGGGGTTGCTTCCCTCTGCTGCTTCCACACGGATGCCAGCATCTTACAGGTCTCGGGCTGCTGGCGGCTTGTCTCCCCCACAGTGTTTTGGGGTGCGTGAGGACTCCCTTTCTACCTTACTGACTGGTGTTGTAAATGTCGTGTGCCGGCTGGTTGCTCCGCCTGTTTACATGAGAGGATTGGGAAGACCCAACAGCTAGGTGGCCCCTAGTCTTTCTTTTTTTTTTTAATTGTGCTTTAGGTGAAAGTTTATAGACCAAATTAGTTTCTTATTAAACAATTAGTACACATACTGTTTTGTGACATTGGTTGCCAACCCTGCGACGTGTTAGTACTCCCGTTCTCAACTTTGGGTTCCCAATTTCCATTCGTCCAGCTTTCCTGTCCCCTCCTACCTTCTCATCCTTGTCCCTGGGCTGGTGTGCCCGTTTAGTCTCATCTACATGGTTGAGCTACATGTGTTATTGTTTGTTTTATGGGCCTGTCTAGTCTTTGGCTGAAGGGTGAACCCCAGGAGTAACTTCAGTACTGAGCTATAAGGGTGTCCGGGGGCCATACTCTTGAGGTTTCTCCAGTCTCTGTCAGACCAGTAAATCTAGCCTTTTTTTGTGAGTTTGAATTTTGTTCTACATTTTTCTCCACTCTGTCCAGGACGTTCTGTTGTGATCCCTGTCAGTCGGTGATGGTCGCTGGGCACCATCTGGTTGTGCTGCACTCAGTCTGGTGCAGGCCATGGTAGTTGTGGTCCATGAGTCCACCTGGTCATCTTGGATGGTCTCTTGTTGCTCGCACGCCTCCCCCTTCCATCATTTGTTTCGTGTTTCATATGTATGTTTATATTCTGTGCCTCACAATCACAGAATCCCAAGTCCTTGGCGGTCTGCATCTGTTTGTTGTTGTCCCTGTCTGCTCTTGTTCGCGGTAACTTGTTGCTCTTGGGCATCTGGTGATTTTCTTATTGAGAGCTTATATTTATTTGGAAATTTTGCTTTTGGGAATACTGATGGGCGACCCAAATTGGTTTCCTTTTCACAGAGGAGGTTTGTATTTGCTTCTTTTGGCACAAGAGGGCGCTGTGGACCTACGATTACCTGTCTTTGGGTTTCCTGAGCCAAGTAGCGCCTGTCCCACCCCCGGATGCCTGCAGAGCAGGCCTCTGGTTGCAGGTTCTCAGAGGTGGATTTTTCCACAGTTCAGAGGTCCTTCAGACACACCGCTTTATGAGGGAGTCTCGGGCTGAGAGACCACCTTGGGCAGGCTGGCTCACGGCTCGGTTCCTGCCACCCAGAGAGCGCCTGTGAGCTCCTCGTGCTGACAGCCCTGCTCTGAACTCTGCCCCCTCCTGTCCTCATGTCCCTGTGCGTGCTTGGGACCCTTGGGGATTTCCTTTACTTTCTCTAGAGCTCAGCAGTGTGTTTGTTAAAATTAACCTGTGAGGCCTTTATTTGTATTTGTTTATTTTTGGTGAAAATATACACAACAAAACACACCCTTTCCAAGATTTCTGCACGTACAGATCAGTGCCACTGGACACGTTCTGCACTCTGTGTCACCATTCTCGCTGTGTCGCTGTCGCCAACGTCCTCATCTCTGCTTTCAAGTTTCTGTTATCAGTCTGATCCCGTGTGGATAATTCTTTAAAAGAATGAAACGTTCAAGGCCAACGTTCTTTATTATATGAGCTAAACTGTTGTTTACAGATGACTTCATGTGATAGTTTGGCTTAAGGATTAAAGATTATTTCAGGACGATAGATTCAGGGGTTCCCCCAATCTCAGTGAAGCCAGTAAGTCTGGCTTCCATAAGAATTTGATGTTCTTTTCCACATTTTTCCTCCTTTTGATCAGGATCCATCTGTTGGGTCCTTGATCAAAACGTTCAGTAATGGTAGCCACCGGGCACCATCTATTTCTTCTGGCCTCATGACAAAGGAAGTAGTCACTCGTGGAGGCAGTTAGACCTGCAGATCATTTCTTTCTCCAATTTCTGGGTCGTCTTCTTCTTCTGCTCCAGGCAAATAGAGACCAAGTGTTGTATCTTGGGTTGGGCCAAGTATTTTATAGCTGGAAGGTGTTCTGGAATATCTAATCTGCCACAAGAAAGAAAAGTCTCTGATTAAGATTTGGCAATTGTATCACCCCTAAATTATGGAAGAAAATGTTGAGGAGGATACATGGTTAGGTTGAAAAGAGGCGGGAACCGATACATTGAAGAGCCACAGTGGAGCTTCTTAATTTCCACGTGTCCTCACAGTTTTGGGCTCCTGGCCTTCTGCTCTTCTTCGTTCTGTTTGTTGGTGTAGTGCATGGTGGTCTGTTCTTCCAGTCTTTCTTCCTGGACGTGTATCTTGTTGACAGCAGTTAAATATTTATCACATGGTAGTACTGTGGTATTTTCTTCTTGGCCTTGTGTTGACTTTTCAGCGTTGCAGACCATCTCCGTGATCTTGAAGTTGCTGAGACGCAGGAGCCCGTGGTGCTTCCATAAACTGTTTATGAGTTGGAAATGTTTATTTAGCCTCAGGTTGCACCAGTTTGGCTGTGTTGATCAGGTTGTTCAGTAAGTCTGCAGCGTGAGTCTGATCGAGGAACTATATCGAGGGCAGAGGAATGAGAAGTGGAAGCTGAGGGCCAAGCCGGGAGGGAGAGGCTGCCTCAGACCCGCAATACACAGTGTGATTTTCTATTCACTCCCATAAAGTTAGATACATGCCAGGGTGTGTATTGTACATTTTAAAGAAAACCAAAAAGACATTGCAGCTGCAGAGAGCCTGCTGCTGATCTTGTCAGGAAGCAGATGAGAGAAGGTTGCAGACTCCTGGGCTCAGAACCTGATGTCAGGCCTTAGGACGGTCAGGGCTGCTGTGTGCAGCTGTCGGGCACCCGCACGTCCATGCGGTGTCTGTGCAGTTCCCTGGGGGAGAGCGAGGAAGATGCCCACCTGACGTGTGTTGTTTGCACAGACATGGCGACCTGCTGTTCCTGTTTCCCTCGAGCCTTGCTGGGCCCTCTTCTGAGATGGAGATGTCGACTCCGCCAGGGCTGAAGGCCTTTGGGGCACCCAACGTGGTGGAAGATGAGATCGATCAGTACCTGAGCAAGCAGGATGGGAAGATCTACCGGAGCCGAGACCCCCAGCTGTAAGTGCTGCACGCGCTGGGGACCACTTCTGTGTCCCTAGACATGTGATCCCAATGGTGCTTGTAACGTGGCCCGCTTTAGTGTTTAACAAAAAGAAATTTAAATTTTGAGTGTGACCGTCTGTTTTCAGATTGAAAAGTTATCTTGTTAGCTTTTCTCATTGTTTGAATCTCAAAATATGTTCCATATGTACTTTAAAAGTTTTGGAAGTATTTGGACACTAAGAGATTTGAAAAGTATCCAGGGGAGGGAGGAGGCCTTAAAACCAGGTGTTTACTGTGTTGTACCCCAGAGGTACGTGATTACCCATGTGGCAGAAATGGAGCTTAGAAAATGCCAAAGGGCAAGAAGAGGAAGGAATGGAAGTAATTGATAGTTGGGTATTTGCTAACGCAACGTGCTTCTTCATGTCATCTCAGTCCTGGTGGAGTGGTTTTAGTACCATATACCTAGTCCTGGTGGAGTGGTTTTAGTACCATATACCTAGTGCTGGTGGAAC